GCCGCATCCCTGCTCGAACAGCAGTGAGCACAGCCATGAAAAAAAAGATGGATTATTGATGAAATTATTATAAAACGAACCATATTAAAGGGCGCAGAGAAAACTCAGAGCAGTGAAAAAAACTCCTTTGAAACACTTCTTTAGAAGACGTTTGCACGGGACCGATTTCTTTTCGGCTTCGCTCTGCCAGCTGGCCCTGGGAAAGCGCCGTGTCCCCTGCGCTGGGGTTTGTGACACACGTCTCTGACGTCCAAAAAAACAGATTAATTTTACAAGAGAGTCGGCTGGGATGCTGATAACAGCTATTTCAGTTATATATCTGACCCTGGCGTTCCTGGCTTACTTATCAAGTCCCATATCCATTTGCTTCCCGTGCCAGGTAAACACAAATCGAGACAACGAAGAGCATGATGAGAATCCCTCCTGCCTCATGCTTGGAGGCTTCTAGACAGGAGCGCGGCATCCTCGGCGCAGGGCCAGCGAGCAGCAGCAGCGGGGAGACGCTGGCAGCCCTTGGCAGGGGGACGTGGGTGCCCGGGGATTTGCAGAGACCCTGGGGAAGGCACGGAAAGCACCATCTTCTTTGCTTTCTTGCTTCATTGCAAACCCCCTCCGAAATCTTGCACAATCAACAGAGGATGAAGTTTGCACCGTAAGTACCGGTTGCCGCTGAAACTGGGTGCTCCCAACCCTCTTTTGCTAGGCTTCTGCTTGATAGCCTTTCCAAAACACCTCTCCATTAGAACAGTTTGTTTTCCAATACACCCATTCCAGTGCTCCTGCCACTATGGAGAGCGGAGGAATATTCACTGAGATGCAGGCTTTTTTTTTCAGCACTGTTAAATTGATTTGCTTTTAAGAATTATTGGGCAGTCGAACCTGCTCCAATTCCGGCTTGTTTTTTTGCAGAACACTCTGGAGAGGTTTATAGAGATATTAAAATTAAATACGAAGCCACAGAATAAATGGTGCTTCCATTCAGCGTATCTTGTAAATCCAGTTTAAATTGTTTCCTTTATTAAATATCCTTTCCTCTTAAAAATGGATTAACTGCTCTCACTGGAGGCTCTGACGGAAAAGCCATCCCATCTCTATAGCAACAAGTCACACAAACGCCCCCCGCGCTTCCACACCAGTTACTCGGCTTCGCAGGAGCCGGTACGCGCTCCCATTCCAAACGTCACCGGTGCAGCATTTCCCGTCCTGGATTACCCCCCGAGGCCGGTCCCGAGCGCAGCGCCGTGTTCCCGGCGCCGCGGGGCTCCCGCCGAGGCTGCCGGCTCCCGTCCCAGCTTGGGCGCACAGGGAGGGGACCGACGCGTTTCTCCTCCCTTCCCCTGATTTTGGGCTCGTTGCTTTCCTTTTTTCTCAACAACCGCCCTCAATTTTTCCACGCCGCCCAGCAGCCACTCGTGTTGGCAAGAGACGCGGTGGCCCTTGAACTTGCCCTTGCTGGTGGCCGAGCCCAGAGCTTTGCGCAGGGGGTTTAAGGGCTCTGGGCAGCTCTCGGCCCGTGTTTCAGGCCGGCGTTTGGAAGAACGTCCCTCCAACCCTGCAGTTAAACACCCTCAGGGAGAATTCCTGAATAAAGGGCTGATTTAGCCAAATTTCTGGGGTTTGCAGGAGACTGGAGCGGTGTGGTCGCAGCCGGTCCCCACAGCGCAGGCTCCCAGCACAGCTCCCTTCCCAGCGGCAGAGTGAGCATTCCCTTCCTGCTGATGGCTTTTATTGTAGGAGTCGGCCTCTGGGAACACACGTCTGGCTGCTTCTGGAAAAATGGTGGCGTGGAGGGTGACCTGCGGCTTTCTGCTGCTCTCAGGCCCCGAGGCTGCAGCAAGGAAACGTTTCAGCCTCTGCTCCCAGCAGCGCAGGCACAGGGACGCAGCAACTGGCAGAAGCAGCAGCTAGGGATGAACATTAGAAGCTTAACCTAATTTTTATTCAGCTTCAAATGAAACAGCCTGTGCAGGAGCGACACAAAAAGTGGCTTTGAGAGGCTGCGGATGCTTTTGCGTCAGATGGAGCCTGCGCCGAGCAGAGCCGGTGTCTTGCTTTTGCTGCTGGTACACGGCTGAAGAATTCAGAGCGGCACTTACCTCGCAGTGGCAGCGCCAGCGTCGGCACGCAGGGATCAGGGGGCGTCTGCTCCGTCATCCTCCACCCGAGTCGGGGGGCCAAGCCTTTTCTGTATCAACGGGGTGAGAAGGGCACAGTGACTGGGGAATCGCCCAGGCTCCAGGTCCCTGGGGACACCAGGTTAATGTGGGGACGTGCATCCCCCCTCCCTGGGTGGCAGTGACGCTGCCAGGGCCCGATCCTGCCCCCGGTGCAGGGGCAAACCTGACGCAGACGCGTGCCGCTGCGCCGGCACAGCCCATTTATCAGCAGCCGCTTTAAAGGGACCAAGCTGGGAGAGTGACTGAGTGCTCCGTCACGTTAATATGACAGTCCAAATTGCTCCCGTCTCTTGGCTGGGATGAATTTTGGCACAATTACAGTCAATTACAATTAGAGGCATTAAAGCAGCAGTTAAATGTAACCAGGAGCTCGCGGCTTTTGCTCCGGGTGGGAAGACACTTCAGCAAGCAGAGCAAGCCCCGGACGCCGCTTTGGGTTTGCTTGGCTGTAGATGGGGGGAGTGAGGCGCGGGGTGGGAAGGCTCCCGCAGCGGTGTGTGCCAGGGGCCCAGCTGGCCCCTTCCTTGGCGAAAGCAGCTCATCCAAAACGATGCGTTGAGAGCCCCAGAGCGAGAAACCGCAGCGACGACGCGGACGAACCATCCCATGCTTCTCAACGCACGGACTGAATTCCTGGAACTCAGGATGCGCTTTTGAACACCTCCCCCCCGTCCAGCGCGCTCGTCCCCGTGCCCAAACCTTAACCAGAGCCTCTGCAGGCGCCTGCAGCCCCCCCTGCTCCTTCCCAGCACCCCAAGTGCCACCTTCCCCCCGCAATTCCGCAGGGCTGGCGATGCTCCATCCCCTCCGGGCAGCATCTCGCCCCGCGGGCAGCGGGCTGGCTTCACCGGGCGTCTCGATCACTGCTGGGTTATCAAACCCAGATGTGGAACCACCTCGGGTGGCCAAAGCAGCGCGGGATTCCGGGGGCAACACACCTTCCTGCTTTACAGACGATCCCGTGGCCAGCAGGACTCCGGCAACGCGGCAGCAGAAAGTCCCTGGCAGCATCAGACATCTGCAAGAGCGGAGTGCATTGAACGTCAGATACGGGAGAGCTAGATACAACTCAGCGCAGCTCCCTCGGGTAGCAGATTTCAACAATAAATCCAATTTTGTTTGACATTAATCCCAACTTTTCAGCCCGCCACAGATTATCCTTTTGACGACGGCTCGCCATGCGGCAAGAGCTGGGACAGAAAAGCTTTTTCTCGGTTTCTTTTTAATCGACCTCTGGGAGAGTCTGTCCCCGCGCGGCAAAGCGCCGGAGCCGGCCGGCAGCGCGGGGCACACGGGGCGCAGGTTTCCGCTCCATTTCTGGCACCCACATTACTGATGCCTCTGGGCAGCCGAGTCGCATTAAATACAACTGGAAAATTTCAAATTGATTCTTCAGCAAAAATCCAAGGGCATTGGGTCAGGAGTATCACGCCCACTAAACCACTCACCAGCTTGCAAATTTATATGTCACAGGACGGGCTCCTTACTCCCTTTGGGAAGATAATCCGCGGTTTAATACACTTCATGGTCAAAACTGTTCCCTTTTTCAGCTTCTCCAGGTTTGAGCCCAAGCTGCCCGCAGCTCCCTGGGAGGAGCTGTGCTGGAACAAGGCCCCTCATTTAACATGACGGGCACATCACAAGCGAAAGGCGGGGATCCTCTAGCAAAAACCTGAATCCCATGAAGGAGTCCAACCGTGTCGGGGATGCGGTGGCCCTGCCCAGCCCCTCCACATTCAGCCCACAAGCCACGCTCGCCACTCGCTCCCCTCTCCGTAATTAGGAGTTAATTCAGCATCGGTAACAGACGTTACTTTTTCTTCCTGCTCATTTTGTTCCCAGAGCTTATTCTCTCCCTCCCGAGGTGTGCAAGGGTCCAGCTCTAATTAATACACGGCATTATTTATAGAAATAGCCAATTCCAAGGGCCAGCCGCCTGGCCAGGAACTAACCCACGTGCAGATGATCAGCAGCACCTCGGCGTAGGAAGGGCACGGAGTTCTTAGCGAGGTCACCGAGGTTTTGAGGTGAATTCCTGGGACCCTTCCCTGGTGACACCGAGCATCCCCAGCACGAGCACAGGCAACCCCAGAGGAGGGGCCACAGCCCCGGGAAGCGGCAAACACCATCTCAGCAGGGAGCAGAAATCATGAAAGCCTAAGAGAGGCCTTTCCTGGAAACTGGGAGGCAGCTAGAAATCTAAGTGTTCAGTTAGGGCTGCAGAAACAGATAAGGTGGTGAAAACACAAAGTTAACTGCAGCCGAGGGGGCAAGGCCAGCCCAGACAGGTCCCAGATGCGCGGGGAGCAGCACAGAAGTCGTTTTATTGGGCTGCCAGACCCGTCCTCAGGGCGGGCAGCGCTTGGTGCCACGGGGCTGGACACTGCGGGCAGATGCCGATGGCACCGAGCGAGCTGGCGGGTGGTTTCCACAGTGCTCCCAGCGAGATGCATTTCCGAAAGCAACGTTTCAAACCGCTTCCTTGCGGGGCCCCTAAAGCAGGGGCTGATACGCCGAGCTGAGCCGCACCACCACCACCTCCCCTGCCCGAAAGGCAGAGACTGAAATATTCCTGCGACAGCAGCTCTCAGGAGCAGACTGGAAAAACCCAAGCGAGAGCTGTGAGCCGACCCTCCTTCCCTGTGCTCCATCCTCCCAGGAAAGCCAAGAGCTGCCCAGCCCAGCGCCGTGCCCACATCGCCCACCCCAAGACCCCCAGCACCCAGCTCTGCTCCCGCATCGGCACCTTCCAAGCGCTTCTGCTCCCACACCCGGGCCCAGGGGAGTGTTTGGGCAAGGAAGAGAAGAGCAGCGCAGCACTGGTTTGTTTTCTAAATCAATACGATTTTTCAAATTTATTTTTTAAGAATTACTTCTAATATATCTTTCTCACAGAAGGAGGGTATAGGGAATGTTCTCATTCCATCTGTAAACACTGAAATACAGATCTGGGAAACCAGGGAAGAGACACAAAAAGTGCATTTTACAAAATTATCAACTAAAATATATTTTACATGTATTACGTTTCAATTTAAATTCTACCGACTGCCTTTTCAGTTTCAAAAAATATTTCCATATCTAATAGATTAAAAAAGCATGAAATATTTTCATTATGGATAAGACATTTCAATTCATTTACATGCTGTCTGCACAACAGCATAAGCAACCACGTGAATCTCGAACAATGTTCTTGGCCTGAAGCAGATTCTAACATGAGAAGAGTCAGGATTTGTCCCCTCCAGACACCAGCCAAAGCCCGTGTAGGGCTCAGGGCAAGTTCAATTTCTTTTCTGCCTGGAGAGGAGCCAGGACAAAGGTGGGAGTGAGGGGGAGAGGGGTCAGAGGAAGGAGTTTCAGCAAGTTACTGTGGTTTCCAAGGCCGGGGCTCAACCCCTTCCCTGACCGCGCAGCAATGCTCGGGTTGGCCTGGCGGGGGGTGTGAAGCACCCTGCCCACCCTGCTCGGGGCCGTGGGCAGCTCGCCGGCTGCCGGAGGGTCCCCAGCAAGCCGGGAGTCTGCGCCCGGGGCTTCCCCGCACCCTCCGCACCACGGCCCCGGGGCGCAGCTGCAATCCCCCCCCTTTTGTGACGCTTCTGCAGCGTCCCCCTCCCTGCCGAGGGGCAGAGCCCCTCCGCACCCTCTCCCGGTAGCACCAAAGGCCGCTTTCTCCCCAGCACCTCCCGCACTTCCATCCGAGAGCCCCCGAAGCGCTCCCGGCTCCCGCCCTGCTAGCAGCAGCAGCGTATCAGCAGCCCCCACCCCATCGTTCCAAGAACCACCAGCGCCCAAGTTAATCGTTAAGGAGAAATCTGAGCAATTCCTTTGACACTAACAGTATCTTGAGGTATAAAAGATGCTTCGCCCACAAATTCTTGCTCGCACAGCTAGAATCAAACCTCCCGGAGGTGGGTGCTTTCCCCTGGGCTACACCAGCAAGAATAACAAGGGCTTTTCCATCATCCTCTGCAACGCTGAGCAGGAACAGTCCACTGACAGCAGGGAGACGGGCCCTGCTCGCCCGCTGCGGGGGGGCCAGATCTTGTCGCCTCCCCGCAGGTCAGCATCTTCTAGACACGTTCCCCTCTTTGGTATGTAGAGCAAATCTCTGGAGAACTCCTGCGTTAACGAACTATTCCCACGGAAGGGAGTGGATGCTGTGGGGTTTTCTCGCCGGGCCAGGCAGGCGTGCAGCCGTCGGAGCGACCCAAGGAGCCCGTGGCGAGTGGCCGGGTAGTGCTACTGCCACTGACAGGACAACATTAAAGCCGTACGAACGTTTCCACCGTTTCACACCAGTTCAGAAGCCCCCAAAGACCGGAACAATGCAGATCCCTACTTTCAGTGAGCAACTCTAGCCAGCAGGAACGTGGGCCGAGACGGTGTCGATTCTCCTTCTTTACGTTAGTGCAATCTAGAAATGAACTCCTGGCTTGGTGTGAACGACTCAAGGGACTGTTACGCTGTCCTTTGGTTTGCTTTAGAATTAACTCGAACAGTTTGCGTTAAGATAAACTAACGTCTATCTAGGACCTATACACGTAAGGCAAGAGGCAATATCTGTGGGGCTCGGGTCGCATTTTGTCGGTGCGAACCTTTACGAACGCTCGGTTCCTTTCGGGAGCCACAAAGCCACTTTGGTGAGCCTGCTCGGATGCCACGATGGGTTTGCAGGGGGGAGGCTGCAAGGCAGCACCGAGACAGCACTGCTGAGGGCTTCAATGGCACGCCCGGGGCCAGGACAGTCACAAAAGGGGAGAGGGGAGGGATAATTTAAAAAAGCCAAAACCGCTCAAGAAATGGGTTTGCCATATCACCCACCAGCCTCTACCTTCCTCACGCTGAAGATTTCTGGGGTTGAACAGGGACTGTAAACGATGTTACAGGAAAACAAACTGGGAAGAAAGAGTAAACCCACTTCTATCGCTACGGCCCCCTAAGCCACGAGAGGAAGAGCGATACTCGGAAGAGAAAACACGCTGCGGGCACTGTGCTCCGAGGTCGGGGCTTTGCAGCTCTCCCCCACACCGCCCTGGGATGGAAAACCTGCGGAGATTCCCAAGCCCCAGTCCGGGTGGTGAATCCCGGAGCGGCGAGGCGAGGGGAAGAGAAAGATGAGGGCAAACAGTGGCCAGCTCTTCCCCAGACGCAGCGAAACCCGTTCAAGCACGACCCAAGGCCGCTCTGCATCCAGGCAGCTTCCCAAGCAAGGGCTGTATCCCGAAGCAGCTCTCGCCCTCCGGGAATCCTCAGAGTCTGTCCTGTGGGACGAAGGAGCTGCTCTCAGTCCTCGCACTTCACGCCAGGGCACGAAAACAACAGAACTGTCACAGCTTGACTCACACAACGCACCAAAGCATCCCTCCTGCACCTTCCCACCATTCCCACCAGCGATGGCTCTGCATTCAGTTTACTGGCTTTTATCCCCTACAAACCCTTCCCAATATACGCATCTCTAGATACATATATAGATATAGATTTACATATGCAAGTACCTATATCTATATACATATATTTATTTTATAGGTATATATTTTCATTTATGCTTTTAACGAAGTGCTGTGCTTTCAACCGCTGCCTTCCTCCACGGGGATCTGCTCCTGCGCACGCCTTTCAGTCCGAGGAAGGAGCGCTGGGCGCTCCCGTCCGCGAGCAGCACGAGGGGAGTCGTGGCGAGCGCGGGGACGTGCCAGGCCCTCGGCACCGCTCACCCAGCAACGCTGCTACTGCGGGTTCTTCAAGATGCGCCCGTGCCTGAAGTCGTAGACGTGACGACAGAGGAAAACCAGCTCGGGGTCAGTGTCCTCGGGCACCTTGCGGTGCAGAGGTGTGGAGTACTCTTCCGAGGGAGGAACCATAATGGTTTTCCTGCCTGGGATCCCTTCGACTCGACGCTTTGCCAAGGCACAAAATCTGCAACGCAACGACATGAGAAAAGTTGGCAGGGGCTCGCTGCATCTTCCACCGTTCGTGTCAGCGCCTCGGCGGAAGCCGCGGCAGTGGCTGCCCAGGGACAGGGGAAGGGGAGGAGTGCGGAGGAGCACGAGGCTTTGCTCGAGAGGAGGATGTGAAGTAGCTGCTGCTGCTGCTCCCACCCTGAACTGCAGGAAGCAGCCCAACGGTTTGTATTTCTACACCGGGGGATGCCGTACAGTACAGAAGATGACTGCAATTAATTCACCTCGCTTTTATGACTTTGGCCTCATTTTTATTAATTAGCCCCAGAAAAGCCTCACGCATCAGGCTGTTTAGGCAAAAGGAGAATTCAGAATGCCTTCAGGGAACATCTCTCAAAGGTGACCTTACCCACAACAGCACGAAAAAATCCCTGCCAATAGCTATTTCAGAGAACTGGGCTGTTCGAAAGGAAATGAGCTGTTGGGATCCAAAGCTTAGGGGGGTTTTTGGTTGATTGGTTTTGTGGTTTTTTTGTTTGGTTGGTTTTTGGTTTGCTTAGTTTTTTGTTTGTTTGCTTTGTGGGTTGGGGTGTTTTTTTTTCATTTGAGTTTTCAAAAGAAAGAGCAAAATCCAGCTTATGAGGGGTTTGTAAAGTAGTTTGGGTTTGGTGTTTTTTTTTTTTGTTAGAAATTCAAACAGCAGAGCCCTGGGCTAGGAGCAGGATAAGAAGAGCGCATTAGGGCTTAAACATCCTCTCTGTGGTAAGACACACAGTCAACAAGATGCACCCAGCAAAACTGGAAAGATTTAAAGCACTGCTCTGCATTATGGATTTGTGTGTCCACTCAACCCCTATTCCCATTCTGCCCTGCACACCCATCCATCACGGGATGTCAGTCTTGAATATGGATGCTTGGAAGTTCTTAATGACAAAGTTTCAATTCCATCAGCAAGAGCTTAACAGCAAAAGCCTCAGTCACTACTCAGTGCTGCTGCTGCTGCCAAAACACCCAGATCTGTGCGCATACACTGGTGTCTGGTAGCAACACTGACAAAAATATATCAGCTCCAACGCTACAAAAATATATCAGCAGGCTTCTCGGCGAGCTACGGTGATCACCGGGTGATTTCCTGCCCTGCTTAGTTTTTAGCTCCAGTTATGGGTTTTCCTGCGTTGGTCTCCACATGCTGTGGTAGCAAGGTCATACAAGTACAAACATTTGTGAGCCCCTTAATGCACATATATTACACAAAACAGACTTGTAATGAATCTAGAGTGGAAGCAGCACTCTCGGGCTGCAGTACTGAACCTGTACGTGGGGCGAGCGTAACTCCTGCAGCTCCAGCTACACCAGCGTCCCCAGGGGCTGGGACACTTCTGCTGGGTGATGGCTGGAAGTGGAAAGAGTGACAAGAGCTGGAGCCAGATGAAGGTCTGGGGAGCAGCAGCAAGTTGAGAGCACCACCTACCTGCAGTACTCTGCAAAGGTCAGCACGTAGCACTTCTCCTCTATGCAGGCAACGCTGTTTTCGTCCTGATGCCGGGATGCAAAGATCTCATTCTGCAGAGAAGGAAGGAAGAGGTCACCCAGCTGGCCAGGAGCCCCAGAGAGATAGGGCCAGCTCCACACCTTCACCCATCACCTTAAAGGGGAGTCTATCAAAGCATGCTCATAGCAGATACTCTTCAGAGTCAGTATTTCACATAAACCAGACAACTTCCAGGTGTTTTGGGACCTATTTATAGCGTGCACCAGAATTTTATCCAGAAACATGTGAGCAAAGCGTCCCCTCATTTAGTGCTGCCTGGCACACTCCGTGAGGCCAAATGTCCAAGTCCCACACACAGTGCCAACGTTACAGGAGCACTTGAGCAGCAAGGCCACTATCAGCTACACCCCTCAGCCTCCTCTTTGCTCCCAGGGATGACAGACGGCTTGCGGCCACCGCTGGGAAGTGTCCCAGGAGATGAGCTTTTGCAATGCTGCACTGGAAAAAATAAAAGCGGTGTGTTGAAAGTGCTGTTGTGATGCCTGGGAACGACAAGGAGATGGGTAAAAGGAAGGAAGGCTGATCCATCAGGAGAGGTAACTGCAGAGGCTCAGAAAGAGAAAAACCTCTGTGAGAGATGCCTTTGCTCCAGCTTCTCCAAAGCCTGACTTTGTGCAAAGTCCATGGGTAGGAGCCTCCAGATCTCACCCAGAAAACTCAGTGAGCAAGCTCCTGGCAGGCAGGAGGTCGGAGCACTCCCCACCCACCCACCCACTCCTCCGAGCTCCGAGGGATGGGCTTCCTTCATTTTCCCTTTCCTGTGCTGGAAACCCTTCCAGTTCTGTACAGCTCAGAACCCAAACGGAGATTGAAGAGCACTTCGCTATCTTTACTACGACCCTGCGACACACAACCAGTCTTTCTAATCCATCTCTACACTAAAGCTAAAGGAATCTCTTCTTTTACAACCCTTCCTCATCCCAATTCAATTAAAAAGGCTGGTTTAGTGAGGGAAGTAGCAATAGCCTTTTTTCCCAGGGTAATTTAGGAAACTTGGCCCTGCAGCAGGCAGGATTGGTTAGACGTGGGGCAACCCAGACAGAACCATTTAAAAGAATTTCAGGTGTGGTTAGATCAGCAAAGATGATCTCTGGGAATAAGGATGCTCTGCACACGTCTGGAAGCATTACCCGCAGGCTTTATTTCTGCTCACAGCCCCGAGGAAGCAGGCTGGAAGTAAAGACTCAAAAAAGGGGTCACCGTTTGGGGACATGCTTAATCAGGGAAACTGAAAATGCCACGCCTTGCTTCTGCACATTGGGGTTTTGGTCTACTCCTTAAATCAAAACTATCTGAGTCATCTTTGGCAAGCCCATCCCAGCTACTCAGCCCAAATGGCACACACTCTTTTGAAGTCTTGTGTAATTATGCAGGTGTGCAAAAAACTGGCTTAATTCCTCCTGGCCAGACTACGGGCACTCTCTCTACACCAAAATGCAACTGGATACAGTCACGCTTCATTTATGGACCAGAAAACTGTAAGGTACCACATTTTGGTTTAGAAACTCATCTGTGCCCTGCAAATCAGGCAGGTACAATTCCCCAGCTGTTCCCCAGTCCTGCTCACCTCCTCCCTCTCCTTTTATTTAAAAAAAAAAAAGGAAAAAGACACCAAGTATTTTGGTGGGCTGAAAACAGCAGTAAATTCTTCATTCCCAATTTAAAAACAGCTTGTTCTGTCACCCAACACAAGCCCATGCAAAGCAGAGCAAGGCGTGAAGACATAATGATTCACACGTTTTTCCTTTTAAAAAGTGAACTCTATTACACTGGCACAACATCCTCAAGTCAGTCTTTAATTCTTGTCATAAATCTATACAGGGGAAGGATGATGCATCCACATTTCTGCACAAAACAAACAAGTTTCTGGAGTTTAAGCAGCAGATTAAGGGATTTATGATAAAAAGGCAGCACATGATAAAGGTACTTCAATGTCCTGCAAAACTGCAGCAGGAGCTTTTGCAATGAGCTCTGCATTTCTGGGTGAATTAGAATACCCTTTTTGGAAAGGCATCTGATCTTGATTCAGGATAAACCCATGCTTCCTTGCTCCTACGGTAGCAGTAAAAACACCTTTTTACTTAATGCACAGGATTTTCTCAGATTAAAGGGAGAAACATTAACACTCAGCAGAGGCAGCCACATAAAGAACAGCAGCAGCTTCTGTTACAGCCCAGAGTTTCTACACGTGACAACAAATTGGGGAAAAGCCCATCTATAAGACACCCCCCACTCAACACATCTGGCAGCAGCTTCACCGCAGCCAAGAGACAGCTCCATTGAACCCCGAACAGAAGCTCAGCCCCCCGAGTCTGAGGCCCCCCAGGGACGCAGGGAGATACTCGGGCTAATCCCCTCTTGCTGCGGCGGTACGGACATCGCAGCAGACCCTCGCCCCGCGCTGCGCGGCCGGCCGGGCTCACCTGGTGCATACTCGGATTGCGGCCTCCCTGAGTGTGCTCGGGTCTGTAATACCACAGGAGGCTCATCATCAGCTCCCCTGCAAGAAGATTTATTAAAACATGTCAAGCCCCACTTTTCCCGTAGTGTTTTCCCACTACTACCCAGCTTCCTCCTCCTGCTTCATCCCTTTCATTCCCATAGCGCTCACGTAGAGGCAGCTGTGCCGTGATAAATATTTCATGCTGAACTAGGTGTCCTTTTGTTACAGCAAGAGGCTGTATGAAGTCGGTCACGTTGCTATTCCATTACACCTTCACCCCCTTCCTACTTGTGTTACATCGTCACAAAGAGGTCAGGCACAAAAAAAAAATTTCAAACATTTCCACCTGAAAAAACGCATCCCTTCAGACTGCGAGCTGGAAAAGATGCTCATCCAAAGGAGGTACTTGCAGCATTACCTCCCAGGCTAGAGCCAGGATTGCTGTCGCAGGATGATGTGACCAAGATGGGCCTCACCACACGTTGATCACTTCTTTTTACACATAATATTTTTATCTTTTGCTCTTGAGCAAGACCCCTACTTTACAACATTTAACACAGCTTCCTTGGGTCAGGTATCGCTAGTCAGACACGGGACCTTAACCTCAAACCCCCACTACTCCAATCCCCCACTTCTACTTGGGTGCCATCAAAAGCTGCTGCAGATAAGCCCGTGCTCCACACCAACTCCCAGCCCAGATGCTGGATAGAGCGTCTGAGTAAACAGCAGCTCCCGAGATGTCTGCTGCAATGAAATAATAAAGGAGATCGTTGCTAAGACGGGCACTTGGCAGATATTACATGCTTTCACAACCAGAAAGATTTTGATTACCAGTCCCAGGCTAGTGATTAAAGAGCATTTCAGTTCCCGGAACATTCTGAACGAAAGCCATGGAGCTAATCTCTCCTCTTCATCACCTGGTCTGGCAGCAGTGGAAGACCCTAACAAGCCTGCCGCTCTCCCGAGATCCATCACTTCCCCGCTTCCAGCTCACCCTCATCTGTCAAGCTCAGCAGCAATACAAACTCTTTTGGCACAGTACCTGTTTTGGGGTCTTCCCACAGTGCCGATATCTTCGCAACATATGGCATAGATTTCTTCCGGGGTCCTGATTTCAAGAGGACAGTATCTCGTACCCGGATAATCTCCCCATCTCTCTCCACAGCCTGATAGCTCTTGCGAACAGCCGGCTCTGGCTCATTCTATACCATCACAACACACACAAAAATAAAGCAACCTGAGTGTACAGGCAAAGAGTTAGTTTATTGTTTGCTACCCTAATCTAAGACTCTTTTGTCCTGCTGCGAACTAAAAACTTGCCTAAGCCTACTCAGAGCTAAGTGCTTCCACTCCAAGAGATCTCCGAGGGAATTCATACAGCTTAGGACCACTCCTGGCATCTCTATTCCCACCAGGTTGGTTTATAACAACAAAAATCAGGTCAAACAAATTACTTTTTCTATGGGTAGGGCATTCATAGCTAAAGAAAGTTCACTGAGGAACATCATTCAAGTGCTCGCAGGTTATACATGGCCATCATTTTCAAATAAAGCAAGAGACAACACACAACTATTTCTCCTACGTAGTGCTGGCAGTAAGGAGCAGCTCACCAGTAGGATGGCAAATCTCACAAAAGTACATATTTCTGAAATTAATACCTTTATTTCAAATTAAAAAACGATTACTCCTTCAATTCTGCATGTAAAAAAACAACCTTCAGAAAAATCACCATTTTATTTGCCTACCTGTGGGTGTGCATTTCCTTCATATTTAAAAGCACAGTAAACTAGGCACATTTCAAATGCTATGTGTTTCTCCGACACAAGCATTGTTAAGAAAACAAATAAAACATGAAACATTTCACATGAACAAGGCAGGGAGTGGCAGGTAGGTTGTGGCATAAAGCCTTCCTTAACAACATTGTTAACATTTCCTTCGTACCCTCTAACATCACAAAATGATCACTTTTTGGACTATGAACTGGGGGGTTTTGTGGTTTGTTTGGTGTTTTTTTTTTTTTTTTAAATTTTTGCTCAGAGAACTCATTTCGGAATGCCTGAGCAGGACGGGTTTAACCTCCTGCCAGATTGCCCAGGCAAAGTCGGAAGCATTACGCAGGACTTAAGGAGATTAACGGTGTGCTGCTCCTTTCCAAGTGTCAAAGTCTGAGCGACGGCTGCCAGGGGCCCGGCTCTGGCTTCCACACGCTTCATCCTCACACAGCCCTCGGTGCCTGTGCACGGCCCCAGGCGCCGACGCTACAAAACCTGTGCTGGATGATGCTCTTGGCAGCTCCAGGTTGTACGACTGCACCGGGCAGCAGCACAGACGAGTCTGCTCAGACCACCGCTCTCCCTGCCGCTCACATCTACCAAACGCCTCGTCCCGCCTTCCCAGGCAGCATGCAGGCCCAGATTTCAAGTCCACGGCTCTTATGTTTTAGTAACACGAAGGATATTGCTTCTCTTTCAACTGAAGTGGACTTTTCTGTAGTTAATTAGATTTTCTGGCAGGAAATCTATCTTGCAGGATCCAGTCTCTGCCCCTGAACACAACAAATAGGAAAGTACAAACAAGAAATCCTTCAAGGAATGACTAGCCATAACATGAGATAAGTTGCAAGGGGGGATTATCAGGTGCTAGGAAAAAAAAAAAAAAAAAAAAAAAAAAAAAAATCTATCTGGGAGCCAGGCTACTGTCTCAGTCCTCTGTGCTCTTCAGGAGATCCCAGCCAGGCTCTAGACACCATCAGTGAGAAGAGCCACCTTACGAGAGAGCTTGACAACCACTCCTTGTAACAAGGCTGAAACCTCCCTCCTCTCCTCAAATGGGTTTGCCCTAAGCCAGGAGGAAGAGGCTGGTGGCAGATCTCTCTGTAGGATGAACTCACGGGTGCAACAAGTGCCTCCCTTGCAAATGCCAAAGACAGAAGCCTTCATCATCATGGCATTTCAGCTGATGCTAGCACAGGAGCAGCAGGTTTTCCTTCCTTTCCAAACCACCTGCCACGCTGTTCAAGGTAATACCAGGGCGCACAAGAAAAACAACGAAGTCACCAGCAGCTCGGCCTCGAAGCCACCAGCAGCTCGGCCTCGAAGCCCAGCCAAAAGGCACTATTTGCTTCTCCAAGAGGATGTAGACGGCGCGCAGCGACCATCTCTACCTCAAAGCAAGACCCAAAACGCCCTCAAGCCTTCACGATCCGAGTCCCCTGAAGACGCACAAACGGGTAGAGCCGTACACGCAGGAACGGCAGCCCTCCCCAGGCACCTACCACGACGTAGACGGCCTTCTCGCAGGCTGTGCCGACGGGTATCCAGCCGTTGGTAGCTCTCCGCCTGCTGATACGTTGCTGCTTTGGATGGGAATGGCCTCCCGCTGCTTTGCTGTCGGAGGCGTGGAGACAGCCCGTCGTGTTTCGGAGACCGGATTTGGAGCCGCTGGGCGGCTTGGAGCTCTGAGGACATTCTCGGGCCATGGTCTGAGGATCAGAGTTGGGGGTCTGCAGATGAGGAACGGGTTCTGCAGCCGGTGGCACGCTGGGTACAGGGCATCCTGAGAGCGGGTGGGCAGGTGACGCGGGGTGCCCTGCCACAGGGATTGTGAGGTTCAGCTGGTCCAGAGACTTGCAGCCTTCTAACAGAAAGGAAGAGACATGTAGCTCATTGCAAATACAAGATGACTAAACAGTCAAGACTGCCCCAAACTACCACCGCTTTTCCCCTGAAATTCCCTTTATGGCATTAGAGTAGTAAAGGCACTTCACGTTGCAATTTCATTTTGCACTGTCGCTGGATTCTAAAAGCAAAGATATTTCTAAGCCTGCAACGCTCCAGTATGTTGCTGCCGATGACACTGCACTACAACAAACCCATCTGAAAGCCCCCAAAGTAACGCCAGCCAGTAATACACATAAGGTTGGCCAGTGTTCAAAGCAGTTCCAGCCTGTCAATATGTTTAAAAGAAATAAAAGGCTTATCAAAACGATGGGAAGGATTAAACCACACTAGCAGAAGCAGCCAGCTTCTTTCTAAAAGCCAAATTCTACTAATCAGGGAAAAATGAGAAGATTCTCCAAATTAGCTCCAGAAATATGAAACGGGGAACAAAACTATGTAAGATGATATACACTGCTGCCTTCAGCAAAACCGTGTCCCTAAAGCAGACGCCTTAACCACAACAGGTTAATGAGTCGGCTGCCGCTCAAAAGCACCCCAGAACACCTCGCACCGCGCCAGGGTCCCAGAACAAGCCCTCGGCCCAGGCCAGCGCGTCTGGCAGTAGAGCAAGTCGCGTTTGAATTATCCACCGTCAGCAGGAAGAAAGCTCCCAGACCAATATACAACGCAACCCTGGTCCCCAAAGCAGAAAGCATGCTTTCTGGGGTGACAAAGCGCAGCTTCAGGCAACCTCCAGGAGATGCCTGCAGACTGGAGCGTGCCCTAGCAGACCTGTGGCACCGCACTGCTGCAGAGCTGCAAAAAAAGGGTAATTGGAAGTGAAAAAAACCCATCTGAAATCACCAAGCTCCAGCTGAGTAACTGCTGAGATCCCCTCGCAATAACAGGAAATTATTGCCTCCTGTCTCCCACTTGACCCTCCCTAAGAGGGCTGCAATAAAGCTGCCGCCGAGCTGCAAGTGTGAGGGCTGCTATGGGCTGTCGCCACCGACCCTGGGCTGCAAATGCTCCCGCAGCGAGCCAAGCCGTCGGGATGTGAGTTCAGGTATCCTGCCTGGCCTCGGCGGGCACGGGACCACAGAGCAGTGAATCACCTCCGGAGTATTTTGCTTACAAAAGCAGTTTTCAAGCTTGAACTAAAGCAGGATGAAGCTTCGCAGAAGTATCTACTGAAGTTCAGGAAAGCCGGGCAGAGCTGGCCTTGCCGGCGGCCCTGGGACTCCTTCCTTGGTCACATCCCCTCCCAGCACCAGGGCTAAAGCATCTCCAGCTCACCCCACCACCCCGCTTTCCAAAGGCACGCTGCAAACCGTCTGCAGGACAGGGATGGCAGTGCCTCTCTCCTGCCTAGGGCGGGCATGACTGCCCAAGCCTGCAGCCTGATCCCTCGGTTTGTACCAGACACGCTGGAATTTTCACAGGAGCATCTCAAACACAACAAGACAGATACAACACAAGGCACGCGACACGCCAAGCTGGATCCCCTCGTACCAGTGCCCTCAGACAGGAGCTCATTGCTTGCAGACAATTCACTAAAATAACCCACTTCAGGGAAGGATGAGATTTCCCAGGCACACACATGTATCAACTCCTAAGCATAAATCCCTGTTCATATTCTAGGAGGCCTCCTCATACACTTCAATCCACAAAACAAAGTCTAAATTATTCCAATGTTGTAGGCTTTTAAATCAAAGTTGCTCACAGGAAGGAAACCACACCAAGGAAGACCTCAGCAGCGGGGTGACACACTGCTAATAAATACGTGCCCCTGGAACCACTATTGCCCCTGCCAGCACCAGGAGGGATTACCGAGTTCGCAGGGAGGGCTGAACTCCCCAAAATACTCCGTTTGCACTGCCTGCATCCTTCTGGTTGCACAAAGTCAGAGGCACCAGCATGCAAAATTTCAGGAACAAAGTAGACTGCCATGACCTCGGGGCACTACACAGAAAACTGTCAGACAAGAACACATTGCTGAGCTAGTTGTCTTGCAAGCATTCAGCTTTAAAGAGCATGAAGCCACTAGTGAACACTGTCTAGCTGTTACTGTAGGAAGCAGCACCACGACAGCAGGGATATTTAGGGAAAACGGAAATTATACTTCAACCAAATGCTCCTGAGTTTCAGCAGCTTCCTACAACGGAAGATGACAAAGCCTTGCTCAAACCAAGCGCTGAACCAAAACTTCATCCACCTACCTGAAAATCTGTTTTAAGCGGGTAAGTCATGCCTCCTTTTGACTCGAACGCGTGGTTAACTGAAAGACTGATGTTTACACTCCCAAAAGCTGAAGAAGCAGCCTTGTCTATAGACCGTGCCCCGCTTGCAAACAGCAGTGCTGTCTAGCTTGATGGCTTTTATACAAAGTACTGGTGTCTGATAACCCCCACACAACAATCCAGTTTTAAATATTTCAAAAGATATTTTTCAATAGCAAAGGCAAAACTCCAAGATAAAGCACACTGGAGGACAGAGTCTGAAAAACAGAGGACAGAAGATAGCCAGGAGAATAACTACATCACCTCTTACAGTCACCCGTTCTCATTTTCAGATGTTAAGAGCAGAGATGGGACAGCCACTCACCAAACTCAGTGTACCCGGCACTTCTATCACTGGAGTGAAATTCAAGCATCTGTCCAAATAGCAGACTCGAGCTGCATCGTTACACAGCCCTGCCAGATCCGATCTATAAAAATCTTAAAAGGCTGCATTCCCCTTACAGCTTGCACCAGTGAGTCTAGTGACCAAGGCAATGCCTGCTTCTTCACACCGCTCCGCTCTGCGAGGACACTTTGGTCCCGAGAGCAAGCTTTTGGGAACGGAGGAGTAACTCAGCCCAAAGTGCTTTAGACCCTCCGCTCAGAGCAGCACAGCAGGACGGCGAGGAGCCTTGCAGAGCATGTAGGAACTAAAAACCACTCATTTCACACAGATCAAAGCTAAGCGGTTAGCTCCAGCATGACAAGTCATGAGTCACCTTCTCACTGCCCAAATCCTTTCACCGATTCTATGCTTTCCACAGCAATAAGACCTTTCAGTGGGAAAAACCCTCGGGGCTAAAAACGGGGGAAGGGGGAGGCGAAATGCAGATTCTTTCCCAGCTGCAGTTCGGCTGCCAAGCTGAGACGCACCACGCGCAGAGGGAGCTTGCCTCCTGGCAACCAGATACCTTCATTAGCCACCGTGCTGAACCAGCCCTCTTCTCCCAGGAACGCCGAACGAGATTTGCGCGCACTTTGCACCTTACCTGCTGCAAAAGGCATTTTGTAGGGGTAGCTGTTCCGTCCTGCGTGCACGCTGCTAATCCTGCCCTCTGGCACGTGCACGACTCCACAGACGCTGTAACTGTTAATCGCTGTTCCTTCTCCGCAACAGTACGGAGAGTTGCACCAGTGGAGTGGCTGGAAATGAGCACCTGATGGCAAGGAACTGGGCGATACCAAGAGCCCCTCACAGGTAGCAGATTGTGAAAGCTCGTCCTTGGGGTAAACGGAGCAGTGAGAGTAGCCACTGTATCCACTTTGGCCATAATAAAAGTAAAACCCGTTCAGCGGAGTCAGATCCGAGGATTCATAGAGACATCCACAATCCGTGTGATTTCCGGGCACAGGCAAGGGAGGGAACTGCTGCACGGGAAAGGAAGGCTGATGAAATTCCTGTTTGGGGGTCGGGGATTTCTCTCCAGGTCTTCCATACTCTGGCTTCATGGAAGCTTGTCCACCCATAAGCAAAGGCAGTCTGTGGTAGAAACCCTCTGTGCTAGCATAGGAGCTAGACAGCGACTCATAAGGGACGGGTTCCGTTGTTCCGTAGAGCCTGGAGGAGTCCTGCTGCTCTCCTTTCCCAAAAGCGCCTACAGCAAGTCCTCGCCAGCCATGCTGACCTTCTCTTTTTAAGCTAGCCATTTCCTTCTTGGATTTGACACAATTCTTCCTACCGGCTTTGGCCCATTTGAGCGTAGATTTTGAACAGTGGTTCTCAGACTTGCCCTCTCCGTCCGATTTACTCCTCTGTTTCAGGGGTTGGTCTTTCTCATGGGTCAGCTTCAGAAAGGCCACAGCGTTCAGGCTGGCCAGTCTTTTTGGGGTGGGATGATAGGAGATGGCACCGTCCCTCTTCGTCCCATCATCAAAGACTCATCCAGTGAATGGTCACAGCTATTGCATTTCTGACTGGGCTCATGCCGATTTTTTCCTTTACCTGTTTTCACAGCTGTTTTTTCCAGCGCAGGCCAGTTGTCACCAGCTTTGCAATGCAAACTCTTAACAGTACAGTCTCCACCGGCTTTAACGGAGTCCCTCCGAAAACGCCTGCCAGACAATAAGCCATCATCCCGTTCAAAAAGCAGGTTGTTCACTGCCTCTGCGTTCAGCGAGGCCAGCCTGCGTTTCCTGGGCTCTGTAGGAGCAGTATCAAGGTCTTGCTCCGTCCCTGGATAAGTTATTGTGCACTTTTCCCCAGATGAATCACTCTTCCCTGCTCCCACAGGCTGAACTTGCTCGGAGAACAAAGCAGGTCCCAAACCCTCCATCCAACTGGGAAGGTCCTTTTTTTTACAGCTCTGGGTCTGTTTCGACAGAGATCCAGCCACATCCTCCAGCCTGGTGAGGAGCACTTTGCAGGTTTTTTTGTTCACCGAGGGGAGCAGACGTCTCCGCAGTGGGTATGTCTTTCGCACTTCATGCAAATTTTTGCTTTTGTTCGTCCCCACAAACCCACTCGGACAGTTCGGAGCCTCGGTAGCATCTCCATCTCTCTGCTCGCCACACTCTGCCTCGGTCCTGTCCATCCTCCTGCTGCCTGCTGGTGATGAAGCTTGGCCAGCAGAACCAGCTGGATGTTTCAGAAGGAAAAGTTGTTTCTTCCGGGCATGCGTCATAGGATCAATGTCCAATCCTGAGAACGAACAGAAGAAAACATCTATTAATATCGCTGAGAGGGACCCATCTCCTCACAAAGCACCAACTGCCAATTAGGAAATATTTGGGGAAGCTTGTTTCTATACACGGTAGAGTCTTTTTGGGTGATGGCCAGTTAAGCCAATTAAGAGACAGGATGCAATGAGATGTGGTTTAATATTAAGCCATAGAACACGATAGCAATTAAAAGCAAGGCGGTGACAGCAAATGCCACAGCAGCTGGGAAAACCAGGGTACGGCCAGAAAGCTGTTTCACCCAGCTCCCACTCCAAGTACGTGCCCTGTTACATTGATGCTGTCTCTAACACGTTACAAATTCTCATCCAATCTACTAAAGCTGATCTGAATGCTGGTCTGGGGCATACAGCAGAAATAAATCCCAGGTATTTGACTGCTTGCATGTTGATACAGGCAGGCTGTTTCATTGTCGTTTTCTGAAACAATTAGACAAAAGAAAAACAAAAGGTCCACCTACTCATGTGAAAAGCAAACTTGGCCTATTAAGCAGAGATCTGCCAACATTAATAAATTAAATACATGCAAATCCTTATGCAGGTTAGAACCTGGCTACTCACTGCTGTTGTTGTTCCCTACAGTTGCGTTTTATAAACATTGTGGACATTAAACAACCAAATCATCATGTTCAGCAGAGGGGCCCTAAAAATATGTTTATGGGAGGAAAAAGAATTACTCATCTGTATGTCATTCCTGACTTTTCATCTAGATGCTATGTCAAGTCACTGTTCAAAACCAACACAAATTACTAACATATAAAAAGAAGGAGATAAGAATCTGCACCCAGAACAGGAACCGCCTTGCTGAAGGCACGGCTGAGCAAACCAGCACCCAGCACCCCAACCAAGCTGCTGGCAGGCCGGACAGCTTCAGCACATCTGGACTGCCCAGCCAGGTAGAACATTACAGGAATAGTCCTGCTCCGATTTACCGTCAGAGGGAATTTTCCCTGCAAAGGCAGAAGGCATGCCAGCCTCGGGAGGACGGCTCCCTCCAAGCAACACATCGCAAGAGGTCTCTGGGGAAAGGTGAGGAGGAAGCATCAAACCCCAAAGAAATGGGAACAACTGCTGCCTGCCTTCCCCCAAAGCACCAGTAGCAGAGGTTGGGTGCTCACCCAGCCACACAATGAGGCTTTGACCACACCACGGAGTGGGAGTTTACTACTAAATAGCCTCTAAGTATTTAGTAAGGAAGTGATGAGAGGTACAGCACAATCCAGAGAGCCCCTCCAGTTATATATTGGCTTCCTGAGCACCCTGCAGACTAAATCTGATTTTTAGTTTTCCTGTTTCACTCTTAGCAGAAGGGTTACCATGTCTTTGTACTTTGTACTTGAAGCATTTCAGCTTCAGCAAGCGACCTGCAGCAGGCTTGTATCAGATATCGAAGGAATTAAGCAATTTTGCAGTCTGAAGGAACAGGCGTTCACATAAGAAGCTGTAGGTCTAAAGCTAAAAGAGGATACAGGTAGGCGATACTAACCTATAAACATTAAAAAAAAAAAAAAAAAATCAGCCTAATTGAGTGATGTTGGAATAGATTTAATTAAGCCTGCATCTGAGCACTGGAAACAGCAGAAAAGGACAACTGCTGCATTTAATGATATTTATTAAATAGTCAGATTCCTTTTATTGGCACCAAAGAGTCAACCTTCATATTAGCATCAACCTAGGAGCAGTTCGATCCTCCCTGCAATCAGGCATTTGCTGGAACACCTTCAATTGACACAATTGACACTGGTCTGCCACTTTTTGAGGCTCTTAATTAAAGCTACTACTGCTTTTGCAGTGATTAGAACAAAGCTACCAAATTACAAGAAGCATTCATTTGATATGGTTTAATCAAGCTGATAATTAGATTATCTATTTGAAATAAGCCCAACGTGTTTTAATTGACTTGCTTATATATGCATTAACTAAAAGAAACTTAGGCATTGAAAATCAGTGTGGTTTCCACATTGCTCTTCTAGATGTCAGGCTCTTCCCCCACCCCCCTGTTTTAGGGTAACTGACCCTTTACACCTCGTTACACCCAGGATACCTCCCTTGGCTAGTGCCCAAATGGGAGTGCTCTGCGGGGAGCAAACATTTATGTGTATCCACGTTTTTCTGATAAGAAAAACGGGTTCTGGAAGTTAGGAAGATGCTTACCAAGTCAGACAGACTACTTCCTCCAAAACGAAATTCGTCTTGAACAAGAGGCCAAACTGATTACACACAACCTCTGGAGTCTGCAAGAGGAGTGTAATTTAAAAAATAAATCTGGCAGTGGGGTTTGGCAGTGGTAGACCAGGCATCCTATATAACCACGCCCGGGAGGGTAACTCTTCCCAAACATATGGATCAGTGGTTTCCTTGCAACTCTCAACCCATTTTCTCTTGTCCCTACTGAGAGACTGAGCCTCTGGCAGAGGTGCTCGGCAGAGAGGTGAAAAACCTAAAATAAACAGCCATGGCTTGCCTGAAAAACTAGAATCAGCTGCCTCTTTCTCCCCACACTTTTGCAAGCAGCAGTCCGACCTTCTGGCCACTCACATTCTTTGCTTGCCGGGGCTTTATAGCCTGTTAGTACTCAAATGAGTTAGGGGATCTATCAAGAACTGAGTGCTATAGACAGGACTTTGTTCACATCACATCTGCTCTAAAGTTAGAAAAAGTCTGGTAGAGATGCAAGGAAGGGGATTTTTCCAACAGTGAAGAAGAATCATTAACAGCACAGTGACTGTCTTCCCTGTTTGACCCCATAAGGAATGACAAGATGAACAATAGCTTAAATAAAGTATCTTTTCTGGAACCTAAGCATAGGAATGCTTTAAGCAGCAATACCCCAAATTAAAACTGACTCTTCCCCTCCCCTCCTTTTCCTACAACTGTGAGAAACCCACCTCCCTCTCCGAAGCCCAGACATGAGACCCGTCTTCCAGCATGGAACAGGTAGCACCGTCTTGCCGTGTTGTCACACATTTACAGCTAATACTCTAACCCAGCTTTCATCACTGACAGGCTGCAACCAGGAACGTCAAGAGAAACACTCAAGTTGAACATACAAAGATGACAACAGAGATACCAAGTAAAGAACGCATTAAAGCAGGAAGAGCACTAAGATTCAATGCAATTCATTTTAAGAGTCTGAGTCGCATAAGCCCTTTGAAACGAGTAGTTCTTAGGCACAATAGTAATCAAGCAATCACAGGCAGCTGGTGGTTTTTACTTATTATTTTTTAATAAAAGGAGGTTATGTCTGCATAGATCTTCTTGGCATCTGGTCTCTCAGTTCTGTCTCCCACACTCAGGGGTCAGCTGCTCTAATACTACGAAGCATGTATCTACAAACAAAGATGTAGGTATCTGGAAATTTGTGGAAAGACAAAATAAGCCAACTCCACATATTTTGGCATTATGGCCAAGTAAATCCTTTGAGTGCCAGCAAGGAAAACACCAGGACTATCCAGCAACACTTCCACACGATTATAAACCCTCTGAAATCCAGTTTTACAAACAGAAACACAGGACAGCACGCAGAAATACAATCACAGTAACTTAAGCAAATGCAGAAGTCTGCATTATTCTCTCAGAAACTACCACAATGGATTCTTTGGCTAAACAGGGGGATAAAAAAAAAAAATCAGCTAAGTTGCTCTCCAACCTATTAAGTTTGGAGACCAAGAGAAGGTCATTCTTCTAGATCACACCCCATTAAAAACCTGAAGTCCAAAGTCAGGTGAATTCTGTTTGTCTTCAAACACATGACAGTCCCATTTGCTCTGCGCTGGCTCAATATTATCAGTATGTTATTAGTAGAAATAAACTAATTTTGAGGGGATCAGTTACAAAGTATGGCTAAAAAGGTTCAGTTTCTATACAAGGAACTTCCCCATGATATCACCATGGTAAAACAACTGCCATGACTCACAGAGTGGTTTGCAGAGGCTGGAGCATTGTTTATCCTCCCAAGTCCTTTTTCTGACATAATATTCTAATGGAGGTGAGAACAACCAGGTTTAGCATCCGTAATGAACCTTGTTATTCCAGAGCCATATGCAATGTGGATTTATTACAAACCATCGTAACCAATGGTGGGTGTGGGGAGATACCCACAGTTGGCTCCATATCCCACAGAAGCCAAGTGCAATGGGTTAGATCTGTTCCTTGACATCTCTTTTGGAAAAACTCTCTCACCTCCCCACACAAGTCACCACAGCCTGGTGAACTCCATGAATTTTTCTGTTCTCCGTGATTTGTCATACACAAATGCAGAAGGAGCCACCCTGGGCCTTGTGCTAAGCAGGACTTGCTACAAGGCTGCTATAGCGATGCCACGGCCACTTTAGGAGAGGTGATGTGACAAGCATGAAGAAAAAACCTACTAAACCAACAATTCATGCACATGGCAAGTACGCATTCAGCAACAGGCACCAAACAGTCTTACAAAGGTCATCTTCAGCATGCTGGACTACTAAAAGCCCCTTCCATGGCTACAAAATGGCCTGTACTGCATGGCTTGCTTTGCTAAGGGGATTCTCCTGCTCAGTCCCTCCTTGATAAAAAGCACAGAGCAGCTAAGGCTACTGACTTATCTGGAATACAGCAATCCTTTTTCTTCCCCCAGCATAACACAGAAGCGGAGCTTCTGAACGCGGCTCAAAATGAAACCATCTGACAGTCAAGTGTATCATGTCTCAAAATCAGAGTCACACCGAGTTTACTTACAGCGAGTATTGTACTCATTTCAGCCAGGAAGGGAGAGTGTCAGGGCTCTTCATCTTCTTCCCATCTTTGTATTGCTTCACAAAGCAAAGAAGAAAAACCAACTGTGCCCAGAAGTCTCCAAGAAATCACAAGATAATCTGAAGAGCTGAAAGCAAAGATACTTAAGCCAGAACCACCCATTTACTGCTTGCAGCTGAAGAGCCAGATTACGGTGAGAAGACATTTAGGTATAACTCTATCAGAAATGAAA